CGAGGTTCCGAAGCGGAAATGCCGCCGGGGATCCATCGTGAGGCCCATAATTAAATGTACCCCCTCAGGCTCGAGCATTGTTCAACCAGCGTCCGGCCATGAAATACGGCTGGGAAATATGCCTCATTGGTCGGGTTGTAGATGGAGGTGGGCTTGTCTGGTGATTATGCCCTTGTGCCAAAAGACAGGCCACCCAGCTGGTGGAGCTTGCGTCTGGGCGCTTGCCAAGACGGCGACGAGGGTCCCAAGGAAGATATGAACGAGGAACTTCATGGTGTCTCGAAGCGAACCTGAAATGAGAGCAAGATAAATTGTACAGCCTAGAGAGTCCTCGTTCGGGCCAGAGCCCTCAACTTATAAGTACGGCACTTGCGCTACCCAGGATGCTGCTGCGCCGCCATCCTTTGCCAATGCCACTGTGCAGGAGCGGGTGAGCGCTGAAAGGATTCGCAGCAGTGGCCCCGTGTCGGGGAGGCCCAAACCAGAGACATCTTTCGAGGCCCCTTGGCGGAGGCTGACAGGCAGCAAATGGTTGAGGAGATGCTAGTGCATGTGGGCGTGGGAGGTACGTGTCGCCATGCGGGCGCGAACCTCTCGCTCCCTGGTACCCAACGCCGCCAAGCCACTCAGTGGTGCCATTGGTGCTGGACTCGAACGATAAATCCCCGAGCGCAGTTCCTGATGCAGTCATCGTCATTCTCACAATATCGATGGCATCCGTACACTAAGTCGACCTCCCTAGGTACCTAAGGTAGGTATCTAGGTAAGGAAGGTAGGTACCGTAGCAAACTCTGGAATTTTCGCATGATTACAGCATGACTTTGCGCTTATGTAATCACCGATGTCGCCGCCCGGGTGATTCCGCTCTTCACAGCAAAAGTTGTATGGCTGAAGGACGAGGACTGTTTATTCCCTTGGAGTTTTGTGAGAAACACCAACAGCCGCAAGCTCTCAACAGACGAGACGGACCAGCCTCTGACGATGGCTGCCGATCAGCCCGGGGATGTGGTTTTCGATGGGAATCAGACTTCCAGCACAACCAGTCTCACGATGAGGAATGTCAGCGAGGAGAAACTAGTGAGAAAACTAGACTTGTACCTCATTCCCCTGGTGATGCTCTTGTATCTCATGAGCTTCCTCGACCGGTATTGCTTCCCTTCCTTAATTTTTGGGGTGGGCGTGATGAACAATTACTTACACTCTTGAACATAAAAAAAGTGTCAACATTGGCAATGCTCGCCTATACAACCTCGAAGAGGACCTTGGGCTCGTCGGCAACCAGTTCCAGGTCGCCGTCTCGATCCTCTTCGTGACGTACATCTTGTTCGAGGTCCCTTCCAATCTCGTGCTTAAGCGCTTCACGCCACGCCGCTGGATAGCCTTTATTACATGCGCCTGGGGCATTATCGCGACCCTGACGGGCCTCGTCAACTCGTACGGCGCGCTCCTCGCATGCCGCCTCCTGCTCGGCATCTTCGAAGCCGGTTTGTTCCCGGGCCTGAACGTTTACCTCACATTCTTCTACACCAAGCACGAGCTCGCTCTGCGTGTGGGATACCTCTTCGTATCGGCCGCTATCGCTGGCGCGCTTGGTGGTCTGCTCGCATACGGCATCGGACACATGGACGGCGTCCAGGGCATGAGCGGCTGGCGGTGGATCATGATCATCGAGGGCATCCCGACTTTTGTGCTCGGCATAATCACGTACTGGGCCCTGCCGAATGACCCCGCCACCGCCTACTTCTTTACTGAGGAGGAGAAAGTCATGATGGCCCGAGACTGGCGAGAGGTACAGCCAGACGAAGAGCGCCCAGATTGACGCGCGACATGTCCAGCTCGTGACGGAAAAGTTTGGATTTTTCTGGCATCGGGGCTCTTTGGCGGCAGACACCCATGTTATACGGTGAGTCCGCCACCATTATCGAGCCACTGCAAGCTCATAAAGGCCATCTGTTGACTGACTCTGCTTGACCAGGATTTTCCACGTTCTTGCCCACCATTATCCGCGGCCTCGGCGACTGGACGGTGGCTCAAGTCCAGCTCCTCACGGTTCCGTGTTACTTCCTCGGCGCCGCGACGTACATGTGCATCGCATTCCTCTCGGACCGCACGCGCAAGCGCGGACTATTCTGCGTCATTTTCGGTACCATCAGTGTCGTCGGTTACGGCGTGCTGATATCCCCGACTTCCCAGGGCGTGCACTATTTTGGGTGCGTACAGGGACCGCCGCTTCTTAGCACCGCACTCTTCTTGCTGACCCATGATAGATGTTTCCTCGTAGCCACTGGACTCTACGTTGTTGTCGGGCTGCCGCTCGCCTGGGTGAGTCGCATTCCACCTGCTCCCCTTCCCTGCTATACTGGAACGATGTTGCTGACGAGGTGTTCATAGCTGCCGAACAACTCTCCGAGATATGGAAAGAGAACTACGGCCAACGGAATGCAGCTTTCGACGGGTAACTGTGCAGGCATTATGGCGCCATTCATCTAGTACGTTTCTTCTCATCTTCCGTGGTAAGCTGAGCTGTCAACTTACTTTGTGTCTTCAGCGGTTCTGCCGACGGGCCGCGGTACATCCGTGGTCACGCCACGACACTTGCCATGGTGAGCATGGCAACTTGCATCTATGCTTTCATGTGGTGGTATTTCAACCGCCAGAATAACCAGCGGGATCGCGGCGAACTCTCTGACAAACACCGCGACCTTTCGGAGGAAGAGCTAGCAGAGCTGGGGGACGAAAGCCCGCATTTTCGCTACACGATTTAGACTTGATACACAAGAGCCAGCGCCGCGAGGCACACGCATCCTCTTTTGACCATACTTTTCCAGCCCGTTTGTGTTTCGATCATGATGATGCATGCCGTCTCGAAGCCACTCATCAAGAGACTCACAGCTAACGAAAGCGCAAAAGAAGAAAAAAAACACAAGAGTCTCGGGTATCCCTAAACGCCCCAGCCATTCGTCGAGACATGTACAGTCTTTCCCTGCGCTTATTCGCCTTGCAACCGTTTCCACTTGGTGAAGCATTGGAGACGGCTGCGGCTGCGACCAAACTCGTCGCTGATCTTCTGCCAATCAATAGTCGACTCAATTGGACGGGTTCTCAAAGGACCCCTAAGAGCTTCGCGTGCCTCTTCAACAAATCTCAAAAGCAAGCGCTCTTCGTCGTCAGTCCAGCCGGACCGATCCAGATTCTGGCCGCAAATGACGTAGTTTCGGTATCTGTCCCGAATATCCTCTGGATGGCGGTTGAGTTCCTTGGACAATTTCGTCCACTGCTTGCCGTGCTGCTCGACCAGCATCGCCAGGTCCTCGTCCTCTTCTACTGTCCAGTTGCCGCCGCGCGGCCTTGAAGTTATGGAAGTTCTTGCGACAGTAGTCGATCGTTTTTTGACGCGTCTTTCCAGGGCACACGGAAAAAATCGTGTTCCAAAGTGTATCGAGCACTTCGTTGAAAGAGTGCCGGCCGGCTCCGAAACGCTCTTGAATCATGTCATTGATTTCTACTTGCGTCAGCTTGTGCTGGGCGCTGAACGATTCGATGGCCTGTGTAATCCGTAGGAGATCATCCTTATTGAAGACTCGGTTGAGCGGATTCTGAGGCGTAGTAGGAGTATTTGGCTGGCTGGCTCGTTTCTTCGTCTTCCGGATTGATGTAGGAGTCTGCGTAGACCTGCGTGGCGTCGGAGTGCTGCCACCTGCTGCTTTGCTATTTCTCGCTTTTGCATTGCCGTTACCCATTGCAGCCTGTCTACTTGCCGCATCGCGTTCCTTCTGGGCGGACGAATATAGTTTGGTCTGCTTCACAGTCTGACTGGACGCTTCAGCTGTAGTGCTAGTCGTATGCTCCCCATTGGTCTTGTCACCACCGCTGCCGGAACCATTTTCGCTATCGTCTTCGATGTAGGGATCGGACCTGATGCTAGAGCTCTTCAGACGATATGTCTTCAGGGGCTTCTGTTGAGATGCCAGTGCGAATGTGGGCTTAGACTGCTGCTTGCGCTTCTGGCTAGCTGGCGTAGTGGCTAGGACGGGTGTCGCTGGTGGCCTCTTGGCTTGCTTGCTGGGCGTTGTCTCGGTGACAGGGTCGTTGTCGACATCTGGATCGGACGGCGTAGAGTCATCAACAACGTCACCGTTCATCCCGGGATTCTCGGCAGCGAAGCTGGCACCAAGAACGACAGCTGGAGCGGCCTTTGTCTTTAGCCTCTTCTTGTCAGCATGTCGCTCCTTTTCCGCTGTGCGTCAAGTTTCGTTTGGTGGCCTTTCGCAACAGGCTCAGAGGTGTTGTTGGACTGGATCGTTTTATGACCGTTTCAATGTCTTCCCGTGGCTGAGCCGAAGGTGGTGCATCAACGTCCTCGTCTGGACCTGGGAGACCTTTGGCGATGTCAGTGGTGTTCGGTATCATTATGCTCTGTCCACGCACCATCAATGGGTTCCGGGGTACGATCTCTGCTCGCAGCAGCCAAAATCGCATACTTGTCGAGCAGTCTGTCCTCGTCTTCGCTAGAGTAGATTGGCTGCGGCAGCTCGTCTTGCGAAGGGATTGGGGGAATTGAATAATTGAGATTTTGGTCCGCAGTGAGCGAGTGTTGGGTGGGCTGATACATATCATAGCCGTTCAGCAACTGTTCTTCCGCTCGCTGGCTATTATCTTGCTCCTGCTCTTCTTCTTCGTCGTCGTCGTCGTCGTTTTCGCTGTCGTCCGAGTAGGAGGGCGGGTTAAGAGAGGAAAAAGTCCGCAAGACTGGAGGGGTATAGTCGCTGTTATCCGACTCATCACCGGATTCCTGCGATTGGAACTCCTGGCCCTCACCACCGTATGCAGGCAGAGGAGGATCGAAGCGAGTGCGCGCAGAACGGGCAACAGGTTTGACGTCCGTTGTGAGCTCGGCGTGGGGTAAAATGCGGTTATCCTCCTCGATGGATGACTCTCGGTCGGAGTCACTCTCCTGGTCGAAGCTCATCTGGAACGTCTGCCTCTGGGTAGGTAGAGCGGAGGGGGTCGAGCGGCTCTCGCCTTGGTGTTTCGCGACGCGGGCGCGATCAGGGGAAAAAATCGATTTACGCGTGGAGGTGGATTCGACCGAGTGGGGTGGTAAGGGTGGTAAGAGGTCTGGTCACTCGAGTTGGAGTGGTGACTCTGGTGAGGCAGGGGTGAAGAGAGGTGGCTGGGAGCTCCTGTGGGGTCCTGAGACCCAAGTAACCCCTTCCCCTGTCGTCGTGGTTGATGGGAGCGGGAAGGAGCACCAAAAGAGTTTACATACAAGAGCTTCAAGCTTGGACCGCATCCGGAGGCTCTACTTCCCTTTTGTCCTTCCTCGCCGCCCACGGCGCCTGTATCCTGACTATTGTTGTGACGTGCTTGCCCAAACACCAAAGGGAAATACCAAGAAAGGAAAAGAGCATCAAGTTAAATGCCCTTCCTGTGGCCATCTGTTCCTAAGCTCCCGCCCTTTATCTGGTGTCGTTTTCAAAACATTTCGGCTTCTTAATGCCGAAGCCCCAGTCCTTAATCACCGTCCACCAATTCATCATTAATGAACAGATAAACTAGCCCATAACAACACGTAGTAAACTAGAAACGACTGAATTGCAATGTGAATGATGAATTTATCCTACGTGACTCTAACAAGACAAATCAGATACCCAGGCGGTCGCAATCAAAAGCATTCCATGCCACGAGACCTAGGTGGCTAGGTAGCTGCATGCATCATCATCCATGCGCTCACGTCACTCCCTGCAAGCCTCGAAATCAGTCTCACTCTGCAAATGGTGTGCATGCGGACACCTTGATGCAACCGCATCGTTTTGCCAGCAATCACTTCTCATCACTCCGCTTGTCCTTCCTGAACATGCCGAAAAACCGTCTCGATCGAGCGTGAGTCCGGGTTTGGGCCTCCTCCGAGGAACTCCCCATAGAGTCCTCGTTTCTACGCACAGAAGCCTCAGCGCTGGCGATCCTGTTGCGACCCGAGGAGCTTCTCACATGGTCCTGAGCAGCATTCTCGGAGCTGGAGGCAGTTGCTCCGCCCTCGCCTGTTCGTCGACTTCGGAAGTCTGCAAGAGACTTCATCTCGAGAAGGCGCATTTTGACTTGCTTTTTCGCCACAACGTATTCATCCTCCCCAGTAGTTTTGGAGGTAGCAGCCTTAGTTTTCTCCGAAGTGCGAGATTTGTTGGCACCCAGTACTTGTGCTGATCGTTTATCCTCGGTGTTCAGCTGCGCGCTTCCAACCGCCGGTTCATTAGAGGCCTCTGGCTTCGGTAGAGAGTTCAGAGCCGAGGGGCCGTGAGATTTGACGGAACGAAGGGCAGGGCTCTGCTCATATGGTTTCCCTCCATGGCTGTCCTGGTGAGCTATCCCCTGAAGAGCTGCTGCCGACTGCCCACGGAGAGGAATCTTCGGCGCCGTTTCTGCAACACTGTGAGTCGTTTTGCCTTGAAGATGGGGACGGGTTGTGTCAAATGTTGCGAATGGGTCTGCGCAAAGCCCAGATTTCTAAGCTGGGAAATCGGTAGGCTCTTTGGCAACGAAACCTGAACGGCCTGTGGCCTTCTGAGTCTTCTCAGAGGAGATTGAGGGGTTGCCTGGCATGATGTGACCAGTCGATTCTGCTAGGAATCTTGGAATCTCTGCCAACTCAGGCGCAATGTTCTGTGAACTTGATGTTTGGCACAGCGAAGGCGCAGGCAATACGTTACGCATCTGGCTGATGCTCTGCTTCTCAACAAGACCCGGCAGACTACATTTTGCTTCTAGTGGCCCAAATGACGGCGTTGGTGTCACTCTGATCGGGATTCGCGACTTTGGCGTGATCTCTTGATGACCATTTTGGGGCCTTGGATCGTACGCTGAATAAGTATTGACCATTGCCATGTTTCTGAATGGCTGTGGGTTACTGTATATGCCTCCCCCGAGGGTCGAAATTGGCGGTTGTGTCTTGGCTGGATTAATAGTTGGAGGTCGGTATGTAAAGTCCTCAACACGAACAACCATGATAGAGTCCTCTTCCTCCTCGTCTTCGTCTTCGGAACTTTTGTTGGTCTGAACCTGAACTGGGGTTGCGAGACTTTGGATAGTGTGTCCGCCGCCAGTTCGTTCCTTGACCTGGGCCCTGGCAGCATCCTCCAGCTTGTTGTTCCTCTGCAAGTCTTGCACTATGGATGGTGGACTGGGATCTTGAAATTCTGTCCTGTTGACGAACCTGGCATCAACTCTGTGTCTCTTTCCTCTCACCTCTCCTGCACTCTGGAAGAAGTCCGTAATTTGAGTCTGGTTGCGAGGCGAGGGCTGTCGGAGGGGTGCCTCGGACAGCGACTTGACGAGTGCCTGTTCTGGTATGACTGGAGATACGGATGAGGCTTGTGCTACAGCTGCCATTGGCTTCCTATGTGTGGGAAGAGTTGGCCAAAGGAGTCGAAGGGAGAGGCCATGAAGCGGCGGGTTTGGTGGTCGGTTTGGCAGGGGCGGCAATGGCTTGTTCGGAGGGGGTGTTGGCGGAGGTCCCCAATCCGCCACGTTTATCTTGGGGAAACGCACAGGACGAGTGGGTTGAGATTTGCGGGGTTTCGCACCGTGATTTGATGTGCTGGACGAGGCACCCGCTGAAGGCTTGACTTGATCGCTGTGTGACTGAATGTCTGTTGCAGCTGACGCGGTCTTGCCTTCATCTGAGATGAGTACGTCTTTTTCCACTGTGCTATCCTCCACAGAAGTAATGTCCCTGGACTTGGCGGATGGTGTAGGGGATTGAGCCTTGTCTTTCGAAGACTCGTGCTTTTTAGTAAGTTCATCAAAATATTGTTGTAGGGCGGGTGGAATGATCAGACTAGGCGGCTGATCCATATCCGAGGATACTGCTGGGGTTATAGGGCTAGCGTCCGGCGCGAGTTGTCTGACGGCCTCCTCAGGGAAGTCAGTGTTTTCGCTATTGCCCTCCTTGGTCTGGTGGCCGTCGCTGCAACCCTTTTCTTCGGGTTCTGCCATGGTGCCGGTGAGGGTAGTTCCTCTTTCCTTTGGTTGTTCAACTGGAAACGCAGCGTTTCTGAGACAAATCGGCTTTCCGTTGCGCAATATTGTCACAGCACTGTCGTGAGAACCCGTCGAAACAGCATCGGAGTCTCTGGATACGTCTTCGCGTATGGCTGGGGAGAGCGCTTGAATGTCCCTCGGCAACGGATTGATGCGCTTCGGTCCTAGTAACCTAAGTGGCGCTGGTACTGCCGTGATGTCAACAAAGTGGGTTTGATCTGATAGATGGTGACCAGCAGATAAAGTAGGGCTAGTCGGTCGCAGTGTCCGGAGTAGTGAGTCGGTGAGAGAACTGTGCTTCTCAGGTGCTAGGATTTGGGTTGTGCACAGCTCTTCCTGAGGCCTCCCGTCAGGTTTGCTGGGATTGACAGATATTTCGCAGGCGTCTTGGGTTTCTTCCTTCTCTGGTTCGTCGTCGGAAACCGCTGACGTGATTATGTTGAGCTTTGAGCGGCCCGGATTGCGGGCGCGGGTCCTCGGGCCCTTCACCACAGGCTTGGCAAGAGGCCTGAGATTGAGTTTGGGTTTTTGAATGGAGCTTTGAGGGAAAGGGGTCTGAGGAGTGAGGTACATCGCAGAAGCAGGAATCTTTGGAATAAGAATGAATCTTTCGTGGTTCTTTGTGAAGAAACTGGTGAGTTCCGGTCGTACGATATTGCAATCTCGCCCTTCACGGGCAGCCTTTGCCTGCTCGATGAGGAACCTGCGTGCATACTCCATCGGCGACAGGCGCGGTCGTGCCAAGCGATAAGTCACTTCTTTCGCGGCCCTAAACTCCTTCAAGCCAAGAGCTTGTGGCATGATAGGCGATGATAGGTGTTGTCTCGAAAGCGCTCCCAAGTCTGCTGAGGCTGCCGAGATGAGCAGATTTACAGGGGGCAGACTGAGTGACGACGATGATTTTTGAAATCCTGTCAGGGTAGTCTCAGACCTGGTCAACCTTGGTTCTTCGCGGGGCTGTATTGGTTGCGAGATGAGAGATTTGTCTATGCCTGTGCTACGCTTGGATCTTAAGGTTGTAGCACTCGGGGCTGCCTGTTTTGATTGTAGCGAGGATGCTGACTTGGCCGCACGAAGGAAGCCGGCACGTTGATCGCTCGGTATAGGAGGAGGTGGTGGAAAGTCTATCAGCAGCTCAGCCATGGTCGCCATGCTACTGCTGTACGGTAACTTGGAGGCGCTTTTCATCTTGGTTAAAGACTTGACTTTCTTCCCAAGAGAACGGATGGCGATAGCCGATACTGTTCCTTGAATCTGGTCCAAGGCCTGTCTTTCGTGTTCCGAGTTTTCTTCATCAGTCTCATAGTCATCAGTCCTGTTCCTAGTCGTCTTTTCCTCTGGGATAATCAACCCCAGAAGTGCTTGGTGTTCAATGGATAAGCCCATCTCCTTCGCCAGAGGATGCTGATGGAAGATCGTCTCTGACAGACCCGGATCGTGAGGCAAACCAGGGGACTTTGATTTTTCAAAGTCGGCAGCCCATTGGCCTCCATCTGTCACAGCGCCGAGAATCTCTCTGCCAGGAAACCCTCGGAGTATTGGTATGTTGAGTTGTCCCTTGGCCGGACGAGTGGACGAAGGGCTGGGTGGTAACTCTCTTGCTGGTAACGGCGATCGTACCTCCAAGGCAATCCCTTTCGGACAGGCTCTATACACCAGCGGTTTCGGCTTCCGTGCGAATCCAATGTTGCCGGTCTCTGTGCCGATCCCTTCGAGGGATGACTGCAAAGCCAACACAGGACCAAAATCCAGTTCTGGAAGCTCATGGCGTTTCTGGTCTGGAGAAAACTCCATGGGACCTCTCCAAATCGTACGGGAGGCCGGTCTCCCGTCAACTGTTAGTCCACTGAAGTCTTCATAGCACGGAAGCGACATTTGGGTTAACATACAATTGACGCTGCACAGTTCTGTATCCAAGGGCCGCTCTTTACACCGTGTCCGTGTTAAATATATGTCTCTTTGAGGCCTCAGTGGCAGCTTTGTCTTGGGAAGCTATCAGAGGCCGGTGAAGAGCCAGTCATTAGTCACCAGTCGTTCCTCTGCCATGCAACTCTCTGCAGTTGATGGGGCATGGGAGCGAAGCTTGCGTTGAAGGTCGCGGTGATCAGTCAAGGCGAGGAAGTAAAGTGTTGAGCAGATTTGAACAGAACGGAGGCGACCGCGGATTTCATAAGGCAATGAAGGAATGAAGCCCAGAACATCATGCATTCGTCAAGGTTACTACTGCCAAAGGAAAGGGCAACTAGGGCAAGAGACAGAACGTGAATGAGAAAGTCGCCCAGCTGTATTGAGAGCACGGGCCCCCAGTGTTCTTGTTAGTACATGACTGAGTTGGTTGAACATGTGAGGCAAGACTGTGTATGTGATGATGCTTGTATCGGGTTGACACGGATATTTCGGCTGGATGAACCAGCATCGCGGTGCCAGCGAGATGTACGTGAAGGGCCGCCGACAGCCATAGACGTATGAGTCTTGACACATGACGAGGGACCCTGACATCGACACGAGATTCCTATATCACGGAAAGCCCTAATCAGATGCTCAGGCACCGACCATAAGCAAGGAGATTGACGATTTCGGCATCTAAGTCCACATCAGCCGAAGAGGAGCAGGTACAGAGGTGGGTAACTTGAGCAATGGCGTGTGGTTCACGACAGATTCGTGATGCAAATGTGCGGCCTATGGTGACCTGTGTATAAATATACGACAGTCTATGGCACCATTGGCAGGATTTTCGCGTCTCAGAGTCTTCTACACATGAAGTCGCTGCTTTTTGGAGTTGACACGAGGAGAGATCAGTCGATACGGAAACGGGACCATGCCTGCCAGACACGGAGTGTCGTCTAAAAAGGGGTGGTGAGCCACAAGGGCCCATGCATTCTTGGGAAATGAGCGTGGCTGGTACTATCCACTCACCCCCCCTGGAAGCTACCCCAAGCAAGCTGAAAGAAGAGAGCGACAAGCTGAGGAAGGTCCCTTCTTCCTTGGCACTGCCCCAGTGGCTTTCTTGACTTGGCCAAAACAACGTCCATCCGCCCATCGCACTGGTTTGCGGGTTTTCTGTCTTGGGAGCCATCTTCTCTCGCACATTTTCACTCGGTTCGCTGTTGGTAAATCGCCGCCCCTCAATTCGTACAGCGCCAAAAGGCCGCCGTGAGTGGTCTTCTTCCAGGGTTCGGCGAGGGCGGCATGGCGTCGGTGAGGCAGGGGGTTCGGCTTACGCTTCGACCCTTGCTGCGAGCACAGCAGCCCACGACCGTGACGTGGGCCGGCGGCAATTGGGGGCCGAAATGCTCATTCTTCTCCACGCAGTCATCCAAAGCGAATGGTAAGCACCCAGGCCGACATCCCGCACTGAATGAGTGATGTTGCAGGTCCTCGGCATGATGACCTTGGGACGCCCGAGCCAAGAAAGTGCCGCCACACATATGCTGCAGCGCCAAGTGGTTGTCAACCATCCTCCCTTGGCAGTGACGAGCCATCTCACACCCTCGACGATGGTCGCGTGAGGAACTCGGATCTATGTTCAGGCTCAGTCTTTTACTGTGCGCTAACTTACTCCAGCCCAACCGCCCAATTCCAGGGAATCCGACGCCAAGCCAGCATCTGCAGCGTCTCCTCAGAACAGTCAGAACGGCAATGGAGAGCTCTCACTTCCCCAGAAGATGCTTGAGTCGGCTGCTACGTCGTTCGCGTCCATACTTGTCCTTGCCGCAGGATTTGGCATCGCTGGCTATGCCTATCACAAGTCCTACAAACGCATCGTTCTCAACAAGATGGCCAATGCCTTTGAGCCAGGCGACCCTGTTCTCGATCTCGCGGCCATCGGCAAAGAGGTGCCCATGACACCAGCCGATATGGATGACCGCTGGGTCAATCGGCCTGAGCAGCTTCGTGTCGACCAGATCGTCCAGGGCGAAGAAGTTGGACATTATCATCTTCTTATTGGCGACAAGGGCACTGGGAAGAGCAGCATGCTGATCGAGGCCATGCGCAAGATTGATGGCGACGGCGTCGCCATGTTCGAGGCCCACGCCGACCTGGAAATCGTTCGTATCCGCCTTGGCAAGGCCCTTGACTTTGAGTTCCACGAAGACTACATCGGCGGTTACTTCAGTGAGCGTGGCCCCCGCGACACCACAGCACTCCTGGACATCGAGCGCGCCCTCAACAAGCTTGAGAAGGTGGCACTCCTTAAGCGAGCTGAGCGCAAGAAGCCGCTGGTGCTCATCATCAATCAGATGCACTTGATCCGTGACGACGATGACGGCAAGGATCTCATTGAACTACTTCAGCAGCGTGCGGAGCAATGGGCGGCAGCCAACCTTGTAACCATGGTCTTCAACAGCGACGACTTTTGGGTGTATGAAAGGCTGAAGCAACTGGCCACGCGAATGGAAGTCATCCCTGTACTTGACCTTCCCAAGGCGCAAGCTTCGATTGCGCTGCAGAAGTATCGAGTCCGCTACTTTGGGCAACAAGTGTCGGCTCGCGAGCTGGAAGAGGTGTACGACCTCGTTGGTGGGCGTCTCTCGTTTCTGAACCGCGTTGCAAAAAGCCGCGACATGCTGGCCATGTGCAAGCGCATCTGTGATA